AAATATAAGAGATTTGAAATAACTATTGAACTCACCTGTAGAGGATTCTCACCAGTGAGAAGGTGGATAATCTCAAAGGCATGCTTCACAATTCGCACAGCCATTAATTTCTTTCCATTATTTCTACCGTGCATCATGAGAGAGTTTGTAAGACGTTCCACAATAGGACACTGGGCTTTCCTGAAGCGTTTAGCTGCATAACGTTTAGCTGAATGTGGAAGGTGGAACTTGGCGTTCTTCTCCTTAACAGCAATGTAATCTTGCAAGGACATGTCATTCACTTGCACATCGTCGGGTGTATATCAGTTGGACACGGGGCAATTGGACACAGTCCAATCACAAGTCGCTGTTCCAAGGGACCCTACAAATGTCTCTAATCACACGGTGCTGTGATTGGCTGTGTCCAAGTGCACCGCTCCCCACATCGTCACAGTTCCAACGCCCGAACAACTTGATCTCAGGTAGTTCAGCCGTCATGGTAACTGGTAGTGTATTGGTGGTGTTCACCACCATATCTTCAAACCCTTCTTTATGCTCCATTGTTTATCTAGGAAATAAAAGGAGAATGTTAATAATATTAGTAACAGAACAATGTTAACAAATCTGTCAAAACAATTCTCCTGTTTATATCACCAATAGTTTATATACTCTGTTTATATCATCAAAAAGTTACTCTGTTTTAAGATACATTAATCACAATATAAATATGAAAGAAAGAAAATGATCTGAGAAATCACATAATTCCAACATAAAATACAATCTTATGTTGTATTGAAATAATAAATGTTAAAGTATTCAAAACAATATAAAGAAAAATGAACTTCTCGATGAACAATAAAGGATGAATTTTTAACAAATTATACAATATAATTTGTGCACTGAGAGGCAACGTTAGAGAAGCATGATTTATATTCCCAAAAGCATCTATACGTAGTTTGAACCTACACTTCGTGCCGGAACGAAAAAATTCGATATCTCACGATACGCTTTCGTACTGTAACAAGTGAATCGCAACCGGGGCAAGACTCTAACGAACAGAATTCTCCAAAGAAATGTTTGACGAACAATGAAGCTAGCAAAACATGTGGCCATGCGGTCACATGTACCGTACTCGGGCGTGAGTTAATCGCGCGAAAACTCATTTACATTTTGTACTTGTACAATCAGTAGCTACAGAGTATCTCTTAATCCGATCGGTCCGATCCGGCTCGAAGGACCAATGTTTCGAACGGCCTGAGATTGGAGAGCGGCTGGTTCGGGTGCCGTCGAACTGACCGTCGACCACTACCGTTGATTGCGCGAGTATATGCGTGCTCTCCTATCCAGGAGCTCGGTAAGATGGTTTGGGCAAAGTGCGAGAGTGCTCTTGTATCTAAGAGCACGGCGTGGCCCGGTGAAGGACACGCGTGGAATTGCCCGGCGCCTCCGCGCTGGGAAGGATTCCCCCTTTCGGAGGATAATAATCACTCAGAGTATGGAGACACTTATTCGTCTTCCTTGTGAGTGTCGGAGTCAAGTCCGAACAAGATTCAGATCAGGTTGGCGAGGGAGCAACAGAGGCTGAAGCTGGGATGTTAGATTGGCGAGCTGAACTTGCCTTTAACAGTCGCGCACGCGGCAAATGCTATGTCTCGTAGTGAGAGCCTAAACGCAAACGTAACTCTGAATCGCGTACGCGGTCGAGTCGAAGCCTGACGTTGACGTACACGTAACTGTAAACGTGCGTTGATGATACCGCGTGCGTGACGAATGCTAAGTCTCGTCGAGACGAGAAGCGAATATTCCTCGCATATAGAGTCGCGGATGCGACGACGTAGGAGTCTTGAGTAGACTTAGGCCAGCGATCAAGTGTCGCGAGAGCGCTGTGCCTCTTGCAGGGAAGTAATAGCGAGTGTGCCTCGCGTGAGAGCTGCGGCCCTGGCAGCGAAGCAATAGCGAGCTTGGCTCGCGTGAGAGATGAAACGATGACTCGCGCGGAGTCGTGAGCCCGACCGTACTAAGGGTCTGTAGGCGCTGATACCCGGTATGCAATACGGGAGATATCGCGAAGAGAGACGTCCACCGCGGTGGAGGCGTCCAGGTAATCCGAAGTGATCGCGCGAAGCCTTCTCTCAATCCTCGATCGTATTGAGAAGGTGGAGATCCGTGGAGTTACCATACACTTCGTACCACAGATGCCAACGTGTCCTCGGACACTCTAGAGGCAACAGCCCAACGTGCAAACGCACTAGAAGGGGCTGCGGAGAGTTGTGTAGAATTGCCGAAGACCTAAACACAAATGCCAACGTATCTACGACACTCTTAAGGCAGTCAAGATCGATGCAGATATGCAAAGTATACCTCTGGCGAGGCAAGTGCCCAACGCACTTGCTTGCGCACTCAAGAAGGCGATTTGAAGCG